GGGCTCAGGATGAATTTCTCTAATTCCTGAGCCTGTGCTGTTAACTTCTAAGCTACACTTGAGTGTCCTTGGTGTGATTTTTAATTACCTTAGCTGTTGGAGAAATTAATTAAAGTATAGTTAATTATGTATTAGAGAATGTATTTAGAGTAAAATGTAGATTTAATTTTTTTTAAAGTAAAAGAACTCCAAATCTGATAAAGTTAGGTTGTGAGTATATATGGAAACTTGACAAATCTGTAAATATCTCTAAGTACCTCTGCAAATTTGATGAAAGGCTAATTTAATGCTTAAAAATCTATGGAGATTATTTTTAATGCTTCTTAATTATATTGAAAAGGTAATTATAATTTTAATTTTACTTAATTAACCATAAATTTACAAATTATAAGATTAATTTATAAAAAAGGAGATTTACTATTGAGTTCATTTCTTTAACCTAACACTTGTTAAAATTAACTTCACCTATAAAAAAGCCCTTAATCAGATTTTCTTCATAGTGTTCATTTCTCATCTAGCATTGTGAGATTAACCACTTTTCTACGTTTTTGATTTAAAAATACAAAACTGGATCATAACCCATGAGGAAATAGTTAAACCTTTACTGTATGCACAACACCAAGCAAAACGAGAGAGGCAAAGAGAAGCATATGGTCCAGTTTCCCTAGTATTTTAGAATTGTCTGACCTGGACAAGATGGTACATAATTGAGCAGTAAATTCCACAGCTCAAACTAGAGTTTTGCATGCAGTTTTAAAATACTGTGACCCTCACAATCCCCCTTTGGGAAAAAAAAATGTGATGAATTGGGCCCGGGATTTAGCTCAGTGGTTCTACCACCTGCCTCACAAGCGCAAGGTCCCGAGTTTGATCCCTGGTACCAAAAAAAAAAAAGTGATGAATCCATCATGCCATAGAAGATAATGAAATCGGTCATTGATTTCATTGTATCAGAAGTGTATGAAATAAAGAGCAGAATAACACAAATCTGTAATAAATGTGTCTGTGGGTTTTCGGCTTCCATTAAACATATTCTAACAAGCTGTCTTAGGGCTAACTACTGTTCTCCCTCTGCCCTGGATGCTTCTTAATTGCTCTGGCACCTTGAGATAGACCCCATGGTTCCCCTTGAACTTCTGTTCCTCTTCCTTTTTTTCCTAATGGTGTTGTTTCAATTTTTACTTTTACTAGTGTGTGTTTGGAGTAAGTGATGATTACATTCATCATGGGGAGCTGGCGCGTGTGCAGAACACAGCTCCCCCCTCCTTCGTCCCCTCTCCCTGCAGCTCTTGGCCCCTTTCCATTTGCAAGTGATCTGTCTCCCTACTTCCTACGATTTTTTATTTCGCTCTTTAATCTATGTTTGCAATTTCTTTTGCAGCACTCTTTCACACTCTCAATTCGTGGTTTTTTTGCTTTTTTGCTTTTTGCTTTGTTTGTTGATATAATTAAACAGCTTCATTACAAAGGAAGAAACTTGGAGTGACTTTCTGCAGATGGATATCCACTGGCTAGACCACTTGCCCTTGGCTGATTAAAAATATCAACTGAATTCTTGGCTATCAGAATTTTGTCTATTTGCCCACTCATGATTTTTGTTTAATCTCTGGGTAGGAGATGAATATGTGCAACTGTGCATTGTACAGATATCTACAAATACATGCACACACTTGTCCATAAGCATGTACACATATCCATCCACACATAGAGTGTCAATGCATGCACACCCACACACACGCACATATATACATGCACACATAGAAGGTCAGTATTGTATAGCATTCCGTATTTGAAATAAATAACATTTTAAGTTACTTTTGAAGACTAATATGGCAAAATCATTTGCTCATTTTGTGAATTGGTGACATTTGGATTTAAGAGTGCATTTTCAAAGGGTCTTCATTTGGTCTTAAAGGGATAGACCTGGGAAAAAAGACTGTGTTACTGCCCAGATGTTGTACACCCTTTCTGAACTCAGGTTGGTGTCTCTTGGCTCTGTCCTCTCCCCTTTGCCCTTCCTGTCCCCTTCTAACAGGAAGCCAGCATCCTGAAGTCGGGGGAAGGATCTTTCCTTGACTGCTGGGTTCCCAGGACTGTTCTCCAGGAGAAAACAACTGGGGAAGAGGTTCTCACAGTGCCTGCTCCCTGGGCTCCCGGCTTCGGTCACGACCTTCCCAGGGGGTTTGTAATGGGTGGCCAGAGAGAGCCTGTTAGAACCCAAGTCAGCACATGCTGTAGCTCTGGGGACACTTCTGCAGTGACGTCATGTCCCATGGGTCACTGTCTTGCACTGTTTTTCTCTTAGTACTTTTCACTACCAGGCTATTTTCTTAACTAGCTTGAACGTGTGTCTTTTCCATTCCTTGCACTGTAACGTAAGATTTGTGAGAGCAGAAATTTTGACTGTTCTCTTTCTTGCCCTGTTCTTGCATGTGGAGCGCACTTGACGTATACTGTATTAGGTGTTCAATAAATATTTTCCCAGTGAACAAAAGCTTGAATAAGTGAACATTCCAGGGGAAGATTCCAGAGAATGATGTTCCTACAGACTGCCATTGTTACTCTTGGAATCACTCTGAAACACTTTTAAAGAGAAACACAATAGATGTGAAACCAGAGATGATAATTTTATATCTAATGCTGAGCACATGGAGGAGGCCGGAGTGCCTAAGAGAGGTCCAATGAGTAAGGGAATCCCTCAGAGCCTGACGGTTGGCAGTTCCTTCCAGGGTGTGATCTAGGGCTGTGTGTCGTAGATTGGTCTCCTCCTCTTCCCGTCCTCCTCGTCCCCCTCTCTCCACCAGATGCTCCAGCAAATGGACCCTGTTTCTGGTTCCTGAAGGTGACATTCCTCTCCGACCTCTGGATGTGGCCAGTGGACTCTCCTTCTCTGCTTCCGTTCCTCTTCTTTCTCTTTCTCCCTTTTCCCCTTTGTTAAACATTTTATCAGCAAACTCCTCTGAGCCAGGCACTCTGTAGAGAAACAGGCTGCAAGTGGTTCAAAGTGTGAAAGAGCTGACTGAGGGCCCCAGGGTGCGTAGTAACAAAACCCTTGATGCTCGAGCTGGTGTTGAGTGGAAGAAGCTTGGCTGGGTACCGTACCATTAAAAGGGGATAAATACCCTTTCAATTGCTGCAAACCACGTACAGAGCTGATTGCAGTCTTCTTTAAACTAGTCACTTAACTAGGCAAGCCAAAAATCAAGCGATTCTTATGTTTTTTGTGAATGTGGAAAGGATTGTTAAATGGAAATTAACTCCAAACCTATGATTCTAGAATTTAATGTGTTTTCCTTTTTGGTTATTTCTAGGTAAATTGCTATAAAAAGGAAAGAATATGCTATTGTGCTTTCTGTGAACACCAGTGTTAGGGCGTTAGAGTTTAGCTGAGCGACTTTTCTTCTTTACTTCCTTGCCTGTTGCCAACTTAACCTTGTCATCTTTGTTCCTTTTAGCATTTACAGCTCTGCACCCTGGTGCTTGCTCCCACAGAGCTAAATGGCTTCCCCGCTTAGTTAGGCCTAAAACACGGAGAAGGTGCCAGTTGAGAGTCTTCACACATGCAGGGAGATTGAGGGTTAGAAGGCTAAGCGCACTCAGCTTTTTCTCTGGAATCAAAATATTGCAATTTATTGGATCTTTTATTTATCAGAATAATGCAAGAGGTTTAGTATTTTTATAAATTTCAGTGGAAGTAGGGGGAGAAAATTAGATAAATTACAGTGATAAGAATTATCTAGATCTTTGTATTTGTTGTCGTCGGGGATTTTTGTTTTCTTTTTTTCAAGCTCGTCTGGTAAAAGAAAATCTTACAGTAGCTCCAGGATAATGATGCTGGGGAGAATTGAGTATTTCAATACAGATGTGATCCAACAAAAGCATTCATCCCTTGTTCAACTGCTGGAACTTTTCACACACAGACAGGATCTACTTCTGGAATCCTATTTGTATAAGCTTCTGTAATTTCAATATTAATTTGAGGCTTATAATTCTGAATGTAAAATGGGAGTCACATGGACTGTCAAAACGTGTTTGCATATTTCCTGCCTGTAGTGTTACAATAAGAACAAAGTGAGGTGGCCACCACTGTCTCTCCAAGCAGAATATTTAGGGGGCCTGGCAGTGATTGTTGTCATGCTGAGCAGGCAGTGGGACCTGATGAAGTTGTTAGTGGCCGCTCCAGCCCTCTGGGAACAATGACATTCAGTTATTCACTGGGTTATAGTTAGAAAGGAAATATATTTAAAGATTGAACAACATATCTTAGGTCCCTCGGCGTGCAGAATGCCAAGGGGACATGGAGAAACTTTTGAATGCTGAGGCGTGGCCTGCTTTGTACATATCCCCACCAGCATTTGTGTCCTTGATGTCCGGCAGTGTGGCATTTTGTGGTCAAGTCCATACGTGACACAGAATGGGAACTTCACGGCAGGGCAGCTGTTGCTTGTGTGTCCCTCCTCCATGGGCCAGTGCAGGCTCAAAATGATGCCTTCTCACCTGCAGGACAGGCCCAGGTGTAGATGATTTAATTCCCCTTTTCCACCAACTTCTTTAGTGATAGTATTCATGATGATTATAATTGTAACATCTATCCAGTATTACTTGTTGCTATCAGCACGTACATGCATCAAGTCGCTTGATCCTATTCTTACCACCAATTAAATTGCAGTTGTTGTCACCATTTGACAGCTAAGACCCCTGAGGCACAGAATGGGGAAGTAACTTGCCTGAGGTCACACAGTAGGTAGAGTTTCCCGGGGCCACGTGGTCTGTGAGCTTCCTGCTGGGGGCTGTTTGTAGGAACAGTGGTCCCCACCTGTCCTGAGTGCGATTTGGATTCCTCTGTTTGCTTTTCTTTTCCATTTTATTTTCCTTCTTCTTGTTAGGTCAAGTACAAAAGAGATTTTGAAGAGAGCAAAGGGAGAGGCTTCAGCATCGTTACGGACACTCCGGAACTGCAGAGGCTGAAGAGGACGCAGGAGCAGATCAGTAATGTAGGTGCCGTCTCCTTGGTGACGTGGTAGCTGCAGCGTGTTCCTGGGTGGGCATTCGGGGTTGGTGGCTGTGAAAATGCCGAGTGGGGTGCCCAAAGTCCCCATCCTGCTGATCCCATCGGTTACCTGGAGCCTGAACAGTGTCTGTCCTCTTCTCTGGGTGGCTCTCACCTTTGAGTCTCTGCAAAATAAGACTTTTAGAATTAAGCTAAAAAAATTGACACTTTTTTTTTTTTTGCAGTGAATAAGCATAAAAATATAAATAAAACAAAGTTTAGGTACCTTAAAAAAACTCGTAGTTCCTATTTATGTGTATATGGAGTTTAATACTTTAAATGATGTGTTTGTTGAATGATCTAATTTTTGAAATAAACATCTGTACCTGTAGTTACTTTGGACTTGAAATCCATGTCTTGTTCAGTAATGTATTTTCCTTTAAAAAGAAAACTGGAGCTAGCAGAAGGTAAGAATATATTAGATTGCAGTTTAGTACCTGTCAAAGGTGGATAAACAGATCATTCTTAATTTTTGTAACTGTGTGGTTGTGTTACTTCCAAAATATTGTTTGAAGTGTGTCAAAATGTATTTTTCTACAGAAATCAGTTCAATATTAGATATCCAAGAGGAAATGTGAATGAAAATCAACAGCTGTGTGATATAAAATTATGAGCGACCATGCAACACTCTTACAGTAGTGTGTCACTTACACAGACACTAACATTCGTATATGCAAAGTTGTGTGATATAACCTTGATTTCTAGGAAATGTTTAATTAGTGGATGGATTTGTAGTCCTGATATTTGGGCATCATCATGAGATACATGTATATATAGGTATATATCTATATGCATAAAATTTTCAGGCAAAATTGTTATATAATTTGAGAAAAAGTTTACCTGTCAGAAGTTTAAAAACAGGCATATTTGATGTTTAAAAAAAATGTATGGAATAGGAGGAGGCAGAATACACTTTTCCTTTTCCTTTTTACTCTGGTGCCTAAGCGTTATCTGCTATCCTTTAAGTGTGTATTTTATGTTAGGAAGGACTTTTTCCTGTGAAGAGAAAGAGTGGAATTTTCCAGATTCGTGACATTTATCTCTTTTTCTGCCACATTCTAACAGCTCACTTATCATGAACAGCGAAGATCATTCCCCTCATTTTTCTTCCTCTTTATCCTTCCCTCAAATCAAAAGCCTAGTTTTGTTTTTCAAAATGCAAATTAGAGATGTATTCCACCAGCAGTTACAGTCAGTATCATTTACTTCTTTGAATTGTTTTTGAGTATATTAAAAAAATAAAAATGTTGCCGAAACAAAGTTATATCACAAATCTTCAACTACCATAGAAATTTATTTCAAAAAGAACTAAACTTTTCTACTTAAGACTTCCACACTGCAACTACTTTAAGGACTACGGTTGATTCAAAGGTAAGTCTTTTAATTTATATCCAAATTAAGTCCACATTTGTATTTAATTAGAAAAGAACTGATTAGTTTCACCCACCTTTATCATTAGCAGGAATGTAAATTTTGTTTGATACCAGAGGTCGTTTGCAGATCCGTTCTTAATTATGCAAAACCGTCCTATAATACAGGTATGTATTAATCTATCTTTATCATATACATAGCAGTATATGCCAAATACCAATTAGATTAAGCCTGTAATTTAGACAATGCTGAATTTTAAAAACATATGATTAAAACATTTTTAGGGCTGAGGATTTAGGTCAGAGGTTCCGCCGCCTGCCTCGCAAGTGCAAGGACCCGAGTTCGATCCCCGGTACCAAAAAACAAAAACAAAAACAAAACCCCCCAAAAACATTTTTAGTATATATTTGCAGTGCATAATGTTTACATTCCCTGTGTGGAGTTAGTACGTGTACAGAACACATCTTCATTCTTTTTTTATCTCCTTCCCCCTCCTCCTACCCCATCTCTTTCCCATTTGAGAAAGATCTGTCTCCCTGCTTCCTATTATCTTATCATCTTTTATTTTGCTCTTTATTTATATTTTGGGTTTCTCAGGTAAGAGAACCCATGTGATATTTAAGCTTGTGTGTCCGATTTATTTGGTTTAATAGAATAGTCTTAAGGTGCATCCATTTTTGTATGAATGATTCAAGTTTATCCTTTATGGCTGAGTAGTACACCATTGTGTGTAATTACCACAATTTCTTTATCCATTCATCTGGTGATGGACATATAGGCTGCTTCCAAGATTTAGCTAGTATGAATCGGGCTGCTATGTATATGGCTATGCGTGGATCACTGCAATATAATGTATTTCACTCTTTGGGAAGATAACTAGGGGAAAAGCTGCATTGAATGGAATTTCTAGTTTCCTTTTATTGAGGACTCTCTGTACTGATTCCATAGTGGCTGTACTGGTTTACACTCCCACCAACTATGTAGAGGGTTTCCTTTTTCCTCACAGCCTCACCAGCAATTGCTATTGTTTGATGTTTTGGTAATGACCGTTCTTTCTGGGGTAAGACAGAATCTCAGTGTTGTTCTAATTTACATTTCTCTAATGGCCAGTGATGTTGAACATTTTTTCATGTATTTATTGGCCATTTGTACTTCTGAGATGTGTGTGTGTTCACATCACTTGCCTACTTTTTGATTGGGTCTTTTATTTGGTGGGGGCCTGATTTTTTGAGTTCTTTTTATATTGTAGATATTAGTCCTCTGTCTGAGTAATAGCTGGCAAAAAGTTTTCCCCATTCTGTAGGCTGTCTCTTTATCCTGTTGATTGTTTTCTTTGCTGTACAGAACTTTTGAATTTGATCTGATCCCATTTCTTGATCCTTGGTACTATTCCTGTACACCTGGGGTTCTGTGCAGAAAGTCTCTCCTATGGCTATAACTTTAAGAGTTTTACCTTCTTTATCTTCCAGTAGATTGTGTTTCTGTTTTAACATTTAATTCCCCGATCCATTTTGCTTTTAGTTTAGTACATGGTGAGAGATATGGGTCTAGATCCAATCTTCTGCATGTGGATAGCCAGTTTTTCCAGCACCATTTACTAAAGAGACAATCTTTCCTCCAGTGTATGTTTTTGGGCCCTCTGTCAAAGATCAAATAGTTGAATGTGCCTGGGGTTGTTTGTACATTTTCTGTCCTGTTCCGTTGATCCTTACGTCCGTTTTGTGCCAGTACCATGCAGCTTTTATCACTAACTTCACATTTGGGGTTTTGATGCCTTCCGTCTTGTTCTTTTTACCCAAGATTGCTTTTGCTATTCTGGATTCATACAAATTTTAGGATGATTTTCTCCAGTTCTGTGAAGAGTGCTGTTGGCATTTTGATTGGGATTGCATTAAATCTGTAAAAAGCATATAATTCAAATAACATCTTTTAAAAAAACTTTCCACAGTGTCTGGATGTTAGCAACTATAGGAGTTTTGTAAGTAGTTCTTTTAGCCATGATGAGGCATATTAATGTCTGGGTAGCAGTAAAAAATAGAGATTTTTTTCAATATAACTCTTAGAGACCTACTCCTGAATAAGGGAGGCTGTTAACTACTCTGGGGTCTGGTGAATTTATTCTTCACTTACGGGACCCCAACTTCATGACCTTTTTCCATTACCTAACTGGGATTTCATATTACTCAAGGATGTCTTTCTGTAAGAAATTTGTGTTGATCTAAAAAGTGGAACTTTGGTTAGCCCATTTCCCATACCACTTTTGTTTAAACCCAGGGAGCAGTACCCAGACAGGTATTTTTGGCAGTGGCCTGGACTGTGTCTGTTTTGAGAGGAGGAAGGTGAGAAAAGTGTCTAGCCTGGGAAGACCCCAGGATTTTCCTGCTGGAGAGGATGGATGGAGCTGATTCATTTGGAAAATCATAAGGGAGGTGAGATTTGTGAGCCTTGCGTTAGGACTGGAGGTTCACGAGGTGGTTACCTGCTGACAATCTTTATTGTCCCCTCTGCTCTGCGTTCTTGTTTTTAGTTCATTTTATCCTTGAATCATTTGTGACTCTTTTTAAGCTGTCATTCACCCCCTTCTTCACAAGGTATAAAGACATAAAGCAGTGAATTTAATGACAACTCCTAGGTGTTTTGGGTAATATGTTATGGATGAATGGGCATTTTTGATTGCTTGTGTCTATGTCAATGTTAGGAAAATTTTTTTCAGCCACTCATGTTCATTTGTCCAGGATTTGAAGTCATTTGGAAATGCCCACTCCGCCTGCATATGTTACTGGGGTGTGGGATAAAGCGCAACTATAGATTTTAAATTGTGTGTAATAAAAGAGGTGCGAGTGGATTAGCCCTGCCTCCTTTCTTTGGTCCCTGTAATGACAACATATTGAACACAGGAGATTTATTAAATACTGCAGTTTAAAATTCTTCTGCTATGTTACCCAGTATCACTGCCGGAAGAACAATGAAAAAGGCAGGATTTTAGAATTTATGTAATGGTTGGAAACAAACAGAACTTAGCTTCTAAAATGAAGAAAAACTTCTTTTTCTCCCCCCAGGGACATTCCAGAAGATATCTTCATTTCATTCTGTAAATTAGTGTTCAGGTGGGTTTGGTTGTTTACGAACTTGAGTAATGGGCTTGGAGACAAGTTTTATGAGAAGTTGGCCCCACCAGCCGAGCTGTGGCTGATAATGTTCAGAGGGCCGAGTCTGCTTCAAGTCTCTCCGGCAGAAAGCAGCCTTTGTGGGCAGTGCTGATTGAGGGCCTGAGTGCCTTAAGACTTTCACAATGGAGTCCTTAATTGCCCTTTCTCCCTTCTTGTCCCCACACTCTAGGGGATAAATTCCGAAGTGGCAGGGGTTTTCTTACACATCTTTGCATTTCTTTTAATAATACTTTAGGAACATGTTTTGAAAGGACAATATACAGACACGAATCGAGGAATACTATGCCCCTGGGTATTAAAAAGACCCTTTTATTTTTCATCGTGATAGTTCTAGCTTGTGTGAGTCATTGTGAAGGCTCTTTCTAGATTCGGGTGCTTGCTACCTACCCTCAGGTTTATCGCTGGGGCATTCAGGGTCCCAACAGCAGGATGGCAAAGCAGTGCCTCGGCCGGCCTCGGAGACCCTCGGTCTAACCGGCAGGAGATTATTGTTGATGCGTTTCCTTCTGCTGTTTGCACACTCACATGAGCTGCACTTTCAATTAGCTCAGCCTGGGGATAAATTGTGAAATAAAATGGGAAAGTCAGACCCCAATAGACTTTTACAGGCTTTGTGCTGTAGATAAAAACTAGGTATTTATTTGCTAATTTATTTCAGGGGGAAGAGAAATGTCACGTGAAGAGGGAGGAAAAAAAAAAAGCCGATGAGAAAAACGTGTGTTTCACAGACTGACTGAAATAGTAAGTGCACCATTATTTGATTTGTCAGGACTTGCGCGTGTCCCTGACGCACAGGAAGCGTTTTGTACGCCTGTGTGCACCTGTGTCTTCCGGTTGCAGATTACTGGCCTACAGCTGGTCGTACTCGCACCGGCTTTCTGTTCTTTGCCTTGCCCAGTCGGTAGCTGTAATTTTGGTTATGTATTCTTTTTCCCCAAATACCTGGGTTTTTTTTTTTTTTTGCTCCCACTTACAGTCTAGCATACTCATTCATAAGAAATGCTTACTTGCTTTACAAGAAAAGCTAAGATTGGAGTCTTCGTTTTTTGAGATCATAGGAAAAAAACCTCTCACTGTAATTTGATATTGAAATGAAATTCTAAGTGTTTTTTTGGATACAGCCACATAATTTTTCATTGATTTCTTAGAATGTAAAATAAATTATATACTCATTAATAGGCTTACCTGGATACTGCTGATTCAGTTCCCTGAGATTTTGTGAGGTAGCTTCAAAAATATTAGATTATTGGACCTTACCATTGCCTGATAATTGAATACTGTGTCTATGGACTGTTAAAAGATTTGATTCCAAGTTAGGTTGACTGTAAGGGTGAGCATGTGAGGCTCAGGATGATTATCTAGGGATTTGGTCTCTGTTTGTAATTTAAATAAATCATTTTGACAGAGACTGACTGTAACCATGTTCAGACTGCTGACAGTGTGAAATTGAGTTGTACACTGGACAGAAGACAAGCAGTCAAGAGAAATCCCCACAGGCAAAATTTGTTATGTAATTGGGTCAACTCATGCATGAGAAATGCATGCTAATTGTAAACTGGTGGCAAAATTATCGTGTAGGAGGCAATTAGGTCTTATGTGAATCCCAACAACCAACAGAGGAGTTTTCATCTTCAGCAAACATAAAAAAGGTTTTGTTGGTTTTTTTTTTTTAAGGGAGAGAAAGGTAGAAATTAGAAAGTCATTCAGCATGGAGATAGATTACTGTTAACTTTCCTCCTTATACAAAAAATACAACTTTTATAACTAATAAAACTTTACATGAAAGTTTCTGAATTTGAATGGTTAAAGGCAGTGTACCAAGTAGTTTGACAAGAGAACAGGATGATATTTTTGTTAACATAGATGATTAATTATGATCCAGTGGTTAAGATGGAAATCCTTGCAGGCTCGTGTTTTTACAGAGTGAATCTCCAAGTGGCTTTCATACCCCGTACCTCACCTCCGAATCATCTCAACCCTAAACTCCCACACATTCCCGGGCAGTAGTGAGTTGACAGCATTATCTTTAAAGGCATAGATTAGATATGTCAAGGAAAACGATAGGGCAATAGCACATATTTTTCTTCTAACACCTAACACATATATGAAATACTTCTTTCTTTTTGGAATACTTTGACATACTCCATTTAATTAGCTCCCTCCTGGGGGAAAGGATTTCTATAAGGAATACTTACACTTTCATGAGAAGAATGTATGGAAAATTAGCTCTTGGTGCTTTCTTTCCAACTCGCGGTTTCCCTTCCACCTGGATTTGCTTTATTTTTCCATGTAGGGCAGAACTTCAAAGGCTGATCTATTCTTTTTATCCTCAATTTTTTAGCCATAGTCACTTAAAGAAACAAATCCATCCCAGACTAGTAATTACTCATGCATGGCAGGAACAAGAGCTGTGGTTTAAAATGGCATTGTCTAGAGGGGAGCTTTGGAAAGTGCCACCATAATCCCACTTCTTTTTGGAGACAGATTAGGCCAGAAAATGTTTTCTGAAGATCCTTCTTTGTGAGATCCTTTCTGCCTGGTCCTGTCTTTTCAGTGCCCTGTGTTCAGGCCCTTCTCCTGTCCAAGTTCCTCCTGCAGCCTCTAATTGGCCTGATTGCCTTCCGGGCTCTTTCTGGCCCTTCCATTGTATTTGGTAAACGACATCACCAGATGAGTCTTTCTGTAATATCCCTTTCATCAAGACCCTAATTATGACCCACTAAAAAGCCTCCCTGGACCTCTAGTTTGAGCAGGATAAAGTCTAATCTCCTAACCCTCTTAATTCTGACTCTGAGGACTCTCCACAATTGCTCCTAAATTATTTTCTGCCTTATCTTTCAGTGCTCATCAGCCCTGTCCATTTCTTTGAGGCCTGGCTGCTTGCTGAGTTCTGGACTTTTGCATGAGTCATTCCTCTTGTTTAGGATGGTTTCACACTATCCATAAATGACATCCTGATCCTAGACACACGGGCAAACACCAGCTACAGCAATCTTCCTTATCTCTAAGTTATTGTGTTTTGTGCTGTCATTTTTACCACTCATTTCAGACCTCTTATTCTATATTTTGGCTTTAATTAGCATTTCATACGCATAAATGTCTGACCCCTCTAACTTCATGGAGGCCACTATTATCCGTGCCATTTTAAATTTATTTTTGTATCTCCAAGAATGCACAACAGCATAGCACTTTCTTTCTTGTCCCTTATTTAGGATGTGTCCCCATCCCTTCCTTGGGTTTCTGGATAGTTTCTTGACTGTTCTCAAGGGCTAACATGTTCCTATCCTTCCCCTCAGGCTGTTGTCTGCATGGTTTCTTGCACATTCTTCCTAAAATGCATGTTTGCGTATGCCATACCCTCTCTTAAAATCTGTCAGTGGCTCCTTAACTGTTTTTAGGGTAAAATATAAAATCTCTTGCAAGGACTGTGAGGGTGTTTCTGGCTTAGTGATTGTGGAGACCTTGGGTGGCCTTCCTGTCGCTACCCCATGCACTCTACATTTCTGCCTGAGAGGCTCTTTGTCCCTCCCCCATGGATACTGACTCAAAGGTTCCCCCCTCTTCCCTGACCTTGGTCTACCCTGCTGCTCTGTTAGTCTGCTTCAGTCGCTGCATGGGAGCTGTCTTTCTCCAAGACTGGACTTCAAGAAGAGATAGCCAAGAGAATTGCCTGTTTTTCTCCTTCTTTTTCAAAAGGATTGCCTTTCTGTCTGGTTCTCAGTCTAAGAAAATAGAATCTTTCCTAAGATGGGTGCCACCGCAGAGTAGGAACTACTGTGCCCTTCCAGCACAGGGTGGCTGGCACCTGGCACAGTGCTGGGTGCCCCGCAGGGGTCTGGTAAGCGTGTATTGAATCAAGACAGAGGCAGTAATTTTTAAACTAATTTTGTATATTCTTTCTATGACGTGCCCCCTTGCAAGAAAGTCTGTAGAGCTTAAAATTGGTTTAGATGTTGTCGTCTTCCTTGTTTGTGCTGCTTGGTGATACCTGCTACTAGATGACTCTGGTACTTACTGTTCAGTGACCTGTGCATTCTATTGGAAGATTATAGCTCCTCGGCAGAGCACAACCCGCTGCACCCTCGGGTGTCACCTGAGAATTGCATTACTTAGGGTACCCAGCCCCTGTTTTAAAGTGTTGGCAACTGGGGAATTTTTTTAGTGTCTCACTTAAGTATCTAAAAAATAAGTAAGACATTTATTAATTCGCTTAGGCTTGGGATGTCATCACAAAGTGCCACAGCCTAGATGGCTTTAAACTACAGACATTTATGCTCTCACTGTTCTGGGTGCCGGCCACCCGGGATTAATGTCCAGAAGGGCGGTTTCTGGTTAGGGCTCGTTTTCCTAGTTTGTAGAAAGTTGCCTTCAGCTCCTGTCAGGCAGACAGAGGGAGAGGGGGGAGGGGGGCAAGAGAGGGGGAGGGAAAGGGGGGAGAGGGAGAGGGGGAGGGGAGAAAGAGAGATCAATCCATCTGCTGGCTCCTGTCTTAAGGGCATCCATCAAATAGGATCCAGGCTCCACCTTTGCGACCTTGTTTAACCTTAGCTGCATCCTTAAAGGCTCCACCTCCAAATGTCACACTGATGGTGAGGGCTTTAAAAGTAGGAGTGTGGGGAGGGGATGCGGGAAGAAGGTGCAGCTTAGTCCAGAACAGGGCTAAGAAATAATCTCCGTGTATCACAGGGCAGTTTTGAGGCAGTTAAATGACGTACATTTTGTGAAAATGTTTTGAAAAATTCAAAGCATGATACAATTACAAGCTACCATCCTAAGTCAGTTTCTTGAATGGAATTAGATGATGCCATCCTCTGCTTGCTCCCATTCCTGGAAAACTTCTGCATTCAGGTTTTAATTTTTTCCTGTTTTCCAACGTGCACAATGTGAAAAAGCAAAATCATGTCTAGGTCTTATTTTCAATCCTTAATTGGCCCTTTTAAAGCTCTCCTTATTTGCAGTTTTGAGCCATAGTCAAAGTAACTTATAGAGATAAAGATGTAGTAATTACATTTTTGAAATTTCCAGGTCTTGGTTGAATTACATGGCTCAGAAAATACTTCACACATCCCGGGTTGGCACATTGGCCCAGGCAGATGTGAATGAAAAGGAAGGCAGGGGTGGAGTCACCACAGGGAAAGTCTAAGAAAGATTAACTTTTGGAAAATGTCTTAATTTCCAGTGTATTATACAGATTTAAAACTTAAAAAGCATCTGAATTTTCTTCCAGATTTTAGTATACATCTTGGGACATATCCATAGTGAAAATATCTGGAATGTCAAAGAAAAACTGGAAATCTTACAGAAATTTTTGTGGAGTAGTAATAATTATGCCACAGAATTATGATTTCAGTGGATTTGGGGAGGTACGTTTAAAATTTGTTTTTTTTAAATTTTAAGTTTACTAAAGTAATAGTCAAATGTTATTTTACTTATTAGAAGGTCTTGAATCAAGGGAGACATTGTATATAGAGTTCAAAACCATTGGTAATCCAAGTGTGTACAATTAAAGAACATTTCATGATTTGGAAATTAGAAATACGAGTGTCTTTTAAAGCATATGCAGCTATGTTGTCTAATTTGCATTTCATTTTCCTAGAAAGATTATGTCATGAAAATTGCATTTCTTAAATGTTTTTGCTCATGGTTTCTTCTGTAGCTTTCTTTCTTTCTGGCTGCCAGAGCTGTCTTACGGCTCTTCTCTTCTTCACACATTATCGTGCAATGCTACTTGGAAAAGGATT